CTTAGTAGAATTTTCATAATATTATCATGAATTCGTATTCCGTATACCAATGAGGCATGGTTGAATTGGTTAATTCTATTTTTATGAAAATGAAGTTAGAACAGTTAAGAAGTAAGACGACGGTATGCATACGTTTATATCCACTTTTTATTGATTCATTGTCGAATTATAATATTAGTAGGTATCTACCTGCTAATCTAACTTATCTAAGTTGCTATTTAATTTATTTCTATACAAATAGATTGGTAACTAACGTATGCATAATTAAGAGTGATATTTAAGTAAATAAAGAAGTATAAAGTAGATAAGTAGAAAATAGATACGTAATTAAGTAGATAAAATAACATAATTCTTTATGAGAGATATTTCACTTTCTTAATTTATTTTAAATATCAGTTATACTAAATTTTTATTCTAATGAGGAAATAATATTTACAATCTTTATGTTAAAAATAAATGAAATAAAGTCTCATGCAGAGTTATACAAGTAGTTAAAAATTTAATTTGAACTTTGAATTTGAAAATTTATTTAATTAATGAATAAATGAATAAATTAATCGTTTTACATGATTAATTTAATCATTTTTCCTAGTGATTAAATCAATCACTTTGTATAGTAATTAAGTTAATCATTCTGCGAACATACATCAAAAGGAGAATTTGTTTCTAAATTGATGTTTGAAATTAAACATTAATTTTTGCTCATAAATGGACAATCATCATTTGATATACAATTATTAATTGCATCAATGTGATAAAGTTTGATGTATGCTTATTTTTAATTATATCACCGTGTCATGGTTATGAATTATACAATATGTATAGCAAGTAATCTGAGCTGGTTACTTGCGATCGTGATTACGCAGTTAGGTAGCTAAATGATTTATAAGGTTACAAATTAAAATTTATTAGAATGTAATTTTCTTAATTGAATATTCATGGTAATTCTTAACTCAATGATTGGTAATTTAATTGTAAAAAGAAAAGAGGATCGGATTAATATACATCTATCTGCTTTTCAAGATCGTGTATCCTAATTAGCTTAAAGTTATTGTTTGTAAGAAAATATTCATGATATATCATAGGATTATCCTACATTTGCTTGCTTGAACTTTGACAGGTTCTAAAACGCAAAGCTTCGTGAACTAAAGTTTTAAAGCTTTCAAAGTTAAATGTTAAAATATAGGAAGATACATTTTGAAGTTTCTCCAAGCTGGGAGAGCTCAACCTTCAAGAATGAAACTTCAAGGCTTCGAAATCTGCATTTTAACCTTACAAGGCCCGAAGAAACGACCGGTTCCAAAATTTAATTTAAAATTGTACATGCATTGTTACTTCTTTTGTTCATACAACTTTGTGTTAATTCTTATATTATCCGATTAATCAGTTTCTCAATTTTTGTTAATATAAGAATTTACATAAAGTTAGACGAACAAAAGAAATAACAATGAGTGTACAATTTAAAATCAAATTTTGAAACCGAGCCTGGTAACGTTTTAGTGTTAAACCTGCGAAAACTAAATGGGGAAGGAAATTGCAAAAGGTGAGTCGTAGAACTTCAAACATTCAGACTTTAATCATCAGAACGAAATGCATTGCGTGTCAGGTCTAACCTTGCGTGTCAAGTGGAAGCAGGAAGTGTCGTCGTCGTCTACATGAACTAATCCTGTATAACTACTATCCAGGTACCATCTAAAATCTAGAAGACCCTAGGAGTCCGCAAACAGTTGCCAACGATAACGATAAAGTTATCTATGTTTCCTGAATACAAATGAGCGTATTATGTAAATCTACTTTCCATCGAAACATCCGAATCGAAGTTTTATTAGAGAAAAATGAATGTGGGAGCTGGTACGTTGCAAGTGTACATGGGTGGGAATTAAGATAAAAACGCTATTAAAGGGTACAAGACGCTTCAAACTTACGTATGCAAATGGTAATTGTTATTAGAAAGAGGGGCGTAGTTTCTGAAATTGCTCGGATTAAGTTGTAACGTTTTTTCAAATGGCCGTTGATACAGACATCGGAGTATCTATTTATTTGAACGATGTGTATAAGTTTCTTTTATTTAGGATTTTATGTACTTATATGTACCCTTCGTTACCGATAAGGATTCTTTTATTTTCTTAGAAAGTTAGACTCGCTTCTTACTTGCACCTGCCACGCTATATGTATGTCTGATACGAGTTTTCTATGTAATTTAAGGGCGTTCGTTATTCCTGTAATGATGTTTGATATTTATAGTTTCTGCAGTTAGAAGATTCTATAAACTGCCTTTATGTTCTTCTTTTACTTTTCCCCGTTCTTAGTTATTTTCTGGAAAAATCGTACATATCTTGATTTCACGGAGTGAGACTGCTATTGCTAATTAGTTTCTTGCGATTCACGGGATGGAATGTTATTCGATATTGTAGTATACGATCACTGCAATATTTTATATCTTCGTTATAGCCTCTCAACCACCTTCGAAACCAATTATATTTATTTATATAATATTAATCGTCGCATCAAATAAATTATACGTATTACAGATACATACACAGTACACCAAACAACATAAAAATTGTTTTTTTAATTTATTCACTTCTTCAAGATTCTAAGTCTTAAACTTGATCTGCCCTCCTGAAAGAACCAAAGAACGCATTTTGGTTCATGAAAAACCATAGAATCTAATCTTAGCATCTTAATCTCTACCTAATCCAACCTCGTATATCAATTCATACATATACAGGGTGTCTCACCTAACACCGCCACCTCAGATACTCTCATATTTGTGGCGATACAGAAAAGTGTTCCAGACAAAGGTTGTACGGTACCTGTGCTTTTGTCCATTCGATCTTGCAAGGGTCTTGCAACGTCCATTAAAAGTGACATTAAGATTTGTAAATTTTAAAGTTTCTTTCTCCACAGTGGATAATACAAAAGACGTGAGTTTGTAGTGTTTCGAAAACGTCTGAATATCAGTTACGAGAATATGTAATAAAGAATGGACTTATTGATTAAACCACCTTTACAGGACGTTTAAAAATCATCGACAGGTCGAATAGATAAAAAAGCACAGTACGTCCACCTCGATACCGCACAAGCATCGTCGCAGATAGACAGTAATCAAAGGTGGCAGAGCCAGGTGAGACACCCTGTTCATTATCCCGTACTATTTATCTTTTCTTACAATTTTCTAAATCACCCTATATAACTTCAAAAGCAAGCTTCGCCCGCCTCATCCCACGAATCATACACACTTCATAAACCATTTTTCTTGAAAGTAGACCTGCAACTCTTCAGAACCTTAAGACGTCCCTGTTATTTAAAAATCCCGCCTTCGTTCGCATTAACGCGAGAAGCGGTTTTATTAAAAAGAAATCACAAGGCGTGTGTATGGCGAGGCTTCTCGAGGTCGAACAACGTTATCTAACGAGATAAACGCCAATCCAATAAACATTGTAGAAAGAGCAGAAACGGCTTAGCTGTCCGTCGAGAGGGGAGCGTGCAATTATACGAATGCTTATTAAAACGCAGCCGCTTTATCGCCGCTAATTTCACGTGAAACGGGCAGAAAATTGAGTTTCTTGGTTTCTGCGAGGCATGTGCTGGTGAAATAAGAGGACAGAGCCAGCGGGAAATGCCGGTTCCGAAAAATAAACGACGAGGCTCAAAGATGGAATACACGACAGTAGGTGGTGCAAAGAGAGCAAACCGAAGGATTCAGAGCTGGTTGTGGTTTAATGACCTCTGCTATCCTCTTTTTTCTCGCGTATCTCGTATGAGATAATGCGATGCGCATGCTTACGGAACATTTATTTATTTTTTTCGCAAAATTGAACATCGGAGACGATTCGTATTTGCGAGAGACTTGCTCATTTTTGGTGCTTCGTGGATTGAACCTGTTGCGCTTATTCGATCGAGAGGATGAATTTTTGGGAGAGAAGAGAGTTAATTTCGATGGGAATTGGAATCTCCGATGACAGAACGAGCGCGAAACTGGGAAGAATAAAAGCGTGGAATTTTGTGGAACGTTAAATGTTTCTGATAGAAGAAACAGTTTGCAAAATTGGGAACAGCGATGAGAAGAATGAGAAAATGAAAATTAACAAGTTGAGAAATTGAAGAACTTTCGGGAATTTAGAAGCTTGGATATTAGCATTAAATATTTGTAAATCTTTGACACTTTGAAAACTCGAATATTCTGAAGATCTAAAATTCAAGCACTTGAAAATGTAATTTAGAGTTAGATAATTTACCCCGGGATTGAATCTGTTTTTGGAAAAAAGAATGAGGAAAAGAATAAGAAAGTCTAGCATTTAGAAGAAAAATATTCTTCTTTCCATAGATAAATTGAATTTATATTGTTTAGAAAGATATTATAACAATTGGCTTTTCAGTTATCGTACACGCCAGTCTAAAAAAAAATGATTAAACGTGACCGTTCAAAAACTTGATAAACAATAAGAAGAACTGAAATAACAAAAATTACATTTCTACTTGGAAACTATATTTACATTCTGAAAAGTCTGTTATTATATAACCAGTAGTTAACTTAAAAAAAAATTCGTGAAAATGAATTGCTTTCATCGCTGTTTCCCACTGCAAGAAAGTAAAATCATCCCTCTTTGGGTTAGCCGAATTAAATCGTGACGCGTCTCTCTTGTAATAACTTTCGGTCTATCGAAAGTGAACTGCAACGGTACCTTTAATCGTGGACAACTTCTGGAACCTGGTTTACCCAGTTAACTTTTATTTTTACTCTCATAACTTTCTACAAGAGCAAGGAAATATTTTCGAACTTTTCCCTTCTGTATTTTCCATTTAAATTCCATCCTCACTTTCGTTCGTCTTTATGTTGAATCTTCTTCGCTTACGCAACTCTTTCTGGTTCTTCATCTTCCTCGATGCACAAAGCGTAAATCTTTGTATATTAAGAAACTTCTAAGAAACTATTCTCTAATTTAAAACATTTAATAATATGAAAATGAGAAAACAGTGATCTTTACTCTAACATGTTTTAATTTATTCAATTTGCAGAAATCAGAAAACGAAAAGAGAACTACTTCTTCCTGCAAAGATTACTCACAATAACAGCGAAATAAAAAGAAGCAAGCCATCGTACAATGGAATTGTTTTATTAGTAACAGCCTAATTAGTAGAATTAATGTTTTATTAGTAACAGCGCAGCTATTTGAAATTTCACAACAATCTTGAGCAAGTCACTATTAATCGTTATCGTAAGATGAACCAAAATTATAAATAACACTATTGCAAGAATAATGGCGAACATGATGCTGACAGCTGATTTTTATAAATTATATCAACTTTCCGATTTATTCTCGTACGAAGATAACAGACAACCGGAAGCGACGTGGAAACTCATGCAGTTTGATGCGATTAATTGTCCTCGATGGTTAGTAACCAGCTCGATTAGAGCCGCCTTTTAATGAAACCAAATTACCAGCAATTAAATCTTGCGTGTAGATTCATTCCGACCGATCGATCGACGTGACGTCGCGTATTTCCATCGTCTCGTCGTCCGCGTACGACCTCTGCTGGTGAAGATGGTTACCGGCGGTCCTTTCTTGCCTCGAATTCGTTTCAGCGTTGTTGAAGTCGTCAGGAACCAAACGTATGACGAAATTGCTCCTCCAATAACGGCGCCATCTACGCCCGTGCAGTCTGATAATTTACACGGTCGCTTAACCAGGTTATTAAGTTGTATCGGTAAATTATTAACCAGATAGATTTATAGAACAGGACTGGTAAATAAGATAAGAACCTGATTACGAGCGTGATTTAGTTAACGAAACTCGATACGATAAATCTGCATTGAATTGGCATAATATTTTTATTTAATGGTAATACGCCACTAAATGATAGTTGCGCTATAATAGTGAATAAATGACAATATTGTAGTTGGAGGCGAAGGCGAGGTAAAGCGATTCGAAACGGAAAAAAGAATGATGCGAGTGGAAGAGCGAGTTGTTTGATGGAATTCGCCATCACAGTTAGATTAATTTTCTTCGACTGTGTATATAAGTATTTGTATGGATTATGGTTTGCGAATTTCTTTTCAGGTAACGTATCATCGTGAAAATGCAGGCATGTGGTAATTAACGCTAGAGCTACTGCTCGCGTAATAAATGTTCTGTATTATAAATCTGTATGATTCAAATGATATTAATTCAAATAGATAATTCTATATAACTGTGTCTCTATGTAAATCAGAATCAATATTGATTTCTGCAAAATTATCTGTATGCTTGCGGTGATTGTAAAAAGAAGCAAATCTAAAATCCGTCGTTTTTTTAGGGTTCGATAATACGTCCAGTGTTAGCATTTTGGAACACTTGGCCGAATTACTATACAACCCCATGGTGAAATGAAATGTGATTGATTCTGTTCGATTATGTGTACAAATATCTATGTTCATTTTGCGTGGCCTGGGAATTTCTTTTTTCTTTTTTGGTTTTTTGGGGGGAATATAATATAATACGTGAGATGTAGAAACGGAGGAAAGGAAAATGGTAATGAACACACCTGGCCAGAGTAATTATCCAACCCCAGTAAGCGATTAGAGTAAGGGAACAAGTGGGAAGCATGGCAACGATCATCCAGGGCATCTCTTGCAGGCCTCGTTTTAGCAACATTCTTAGAGCCAGGACACAGATGTAGCAGGAAAACAGGGCTAATGGCGTGGTGACTACTAGATACAATATATCTAGAAGCATCTGGAAATATAGCGTTTTCCTTTCAATGAATTATATTTGGGACAAGAGTTTGTATTCTTCGAGACAATTTGATTTGATTTCAAAGGCAAAAAGCTCTGTAACAGAGCATATTCAGAAACATATTAGCATAACATTTGTATTACTTCAAAGAGTCATTTTTAATCACAAATTGAATTGCAATTATTTTTTCTAAAGATGATATTTTGTCAAAATTTTTCTGGAAAAGAAGGATAATGAATTCTGTGAAAGAATTTGAAAGAACATAGTGGGGAAAATGAAAATGAAAGTGAAAGTGGTATCATAGCGTACGATTAATTGATTCAAAGAATACTACTCAATAAAAATGGACTTTGATGTTTCTCATAAAAATATGGAATATTATGAGAATTATTGACTTATGAAATAATGATAATGTGGATCATCTTTAGGTGAATGGTGAACGATGAATATGTCTTACTTGTCGAGTCACTATCACGGTATTGAACCATATTACAACACTACGGATGATGTTGTGACGTGGTACTCTTTTAGTGGCGTACTTGTAGCCGCAAAGCTCGCATCTAGAGTGACCCGATTCTGTCAGCCATCTTTCAAGACATTCTACGTGTACCAGCGCTACTGTCCCACGACACCTGACACGTTTATCCAAAATAATAAATGCATTTAAATATTCTATATCAAGAGTCATCGATCACGTAAGATTCTTTGCTTCGAATAAATAATTTCATTGAATTATTGAAACATTTACCAATCGATAATCTATTAATACAGTACATTTAGTAAATCAGTTTGAAGCTTGAAAACATTCTTACCTGAGAATATTGTTAGAAAAATCAAACAGTTGAGAATGAAATAAGAAATGGATCAAGATATTATTTAACCGAGAATCATCAATCATGTAAGCCTTTTTCGTTTGAATAAATAATTCCTATTGAAACGTAATCGATAACTTACTAATACATTACATTTAGCAAATCAATTTGAAGCTACAAAAGTTCTTGCAACGTATCGCAAGAAAAAAAATTCTTACTCAAGATTGTTGACAGAAAAATTAGATAATCGAAAATAAAAGGCGGAGATAAGAAATCCTTGAACAGTGAAAAGTATCAGGAAAACGGGAAATTGAATAATTAGAAGCTCGAAGTATCTAAAATTTCCGTCAAATGTAAGAAATTTTTAAATAAATTTTTAAAAAACGCGAGAAAAATGCAACACAATTTCAATTTCAGAAATTCTACTAACGGATACATCGACATATTTTCTGAATCATTCTCTTGGCAAATCAGAAATATATTTCTGATTTTATAATTGCATCGGAGCATCGATGTTAGTCTATGGAAAAGAGTTAAGCATTCGGTAGATCGAAACTGATAATATCTTAATCTAGATGTGACTGAAACTATGTATTCCTGTTATTACAAGATGCAGTGTAGGAATCCGATTAGCCAGACAGATAAATTGTAGTGGACATCGATAAGCTCACTTGCAAGCTGAGATCAAAGGGCCGAGATACGCGTAGGACGATAATGTCGACGTTTGACTGTCAACTCCACGAATAGGTTGGTTCTGTCTTTCGTAACTGGCTCGATTCTCGTCGACCGTTGAGAAACTGCCCATGTGGCATATTCGACAAATATCTCCGGACACCCGAGACTCTATAAAGAATTTTTGGATATTTTTTGGAAATAATAAGATTCTTTATGTAAAACGTGTTCGTTATAATAATATGGAAAAATAATGGAAAGAAGATGACTGCAGAGAAAACTAATAGAAACGATAGAAAGGTTCATATCGAGGAAACAAAACAAAATAACATATTTATAGTATAATAGATCACTTGTTTACATAATATAGTACATTTGCAATTTGCCTATTTTAAAGTGTAGCTTGTCGTAAAAATAATTAATAAACTTTTTGTAGAATAGAAGAAGAAATGTACGAAATTGACATCTTGAAAGAAATGTACATCTTCGAAACCGTGATGTCTGGAATGTACCTCGATTGAAACTTAAAAAAATCATCACCTGCTCCATATTACCATGAACCTACCATCATCGCTCCCTTTCTGATCGGCCAAGCTTCTCTTTACGCCTCCTTCGTCCCTCGTTCTTTGCTCGATAGAAGCTTTGTGGCCGGACGTCACAGCCTCGACACACGATCGTTTACCACCGAGATTTTGCAACAGGATTTGCTTATCCGTAGACAGATCTGAAACGAGATGACGCGAGCCCCGAAACGGGTTGAGAATGGCCCGCGTCCGTGAGATGGTCGATCGAATCGTTGTCCTAACCTGTATCGTTGGCGGCGTCGTCATCAGGCTGATCGTTTGACATCAAAAAGGCGGCTGCGTCATTGTGTCGGGCCGTGGAGCCGTGAATTTTTCGCCGCTGGTTGTCTGTCGCGATCGCGATCAGTCCTGCTGCTTTATTTCGAACGGTGCATCAGGACTGATTCGTCCTGGATCTCGTATCGTGATTTTGTACCTACCGCAACGTCGGACTCAGTGAATCCATCTTTTAACCGTCACGAAACTCGCCGCACCTGATGCGACAGTTGAAGGCTCAACGAAAGCGAGAATGGAGAGTAAAGGCCTGTTCACACGTGGCAGAAATCAAGAGTAAGAGAAAGTTTAAAGAGAAAGGAGTGAGATCGAAAGTTTGTACAAATTACTAAAATCTATTTAAAATGCTCTTTTCATCGTCGTAAAACTGAGCGCCGAAGAGTAAAGCCCCGTTCACACGTGGGAGAAAGGAAAGTGGCGGTATAACGATGACTTGTTAATTTTCCAATTGGAAAAATGAGTTATTATACCGAGGCAATTGGTACGAAAAACAAGAAAAGTGGCAGCTGAGTTTGAAACGGAAATTTATACGCGTTAATTTGATTTTAGCGAGTCGATGGTATTTATTTCGTTATTGGGTAAAGCCTCATTCACGTTTCACACGAGACGAATCGATGGTACATAGGGTTGAACTAAGATTTATATTGAGATTCATGGAATTTATGAGTTACAGTTTGATACAATATAGCTTCATTGCAGCATTATTGTAGTATATTAACTGTATACTATCAATGTTGTAATTTGATGTTGCGATCGTATTTTATTACTAAATAGAAGAACTGAAATGAATGAAATTATATATAGGTTCCTTGAGTGGAAAATTGCAGATTTATTTGTCGTAGTTTAATATAGTAGGATCACGTAATAACATCAAATTCGATGTACTATCAACTTCGCGATTCGATACTATTTATGTTATTTCTAAGTAGAGTCTCATTTGCGCTTAGCAACGGAAGATTAATGGCGCTTAATGTAGAGTTAAGGTTTACGCGTTTTATTGTCGAATCTAAATATTATAGTTTGAGATTGTAGAAGCTTGTAGTAATTCTGCAGTTGGTATACCATTGAAATTATGATTTAACGACTATCTCATTACTGACTAAAGTTTCGCTCACGCCTACGAAAGGTAAATTGATGGTTCGTATACAAATTTAAGTGAGAAGATTATACTAAACTTCGCATAACTTACATATAATACAGTGATGTGGAAAAAATCTGTAGTAATATGAAAGGCGCACATCATAATTCATTAAAATTAAAAATCAAGTAAAGCCGTATTTATTCTGCGAAAAAACAGGTTAATAATGTGTAAAACGAGTTAGAGATTTATATTAAAATTCGCATGATGTATGTTATAATTCGTTATATTAGTCTTGCAACATTATCCAAGCCGTATATCATATTTCTGTGGTGTTTGAGTATAGATTAAAGTCCTGTTCGCGCTTGAAAGAAACGAAATAATACTATGTAAATTTCAATGGATAATTTATGTAAGAATTAACATGAATTCTATATTACTGTCTAATAATAATAATACTGACATTCCGTGCGTTAATTTCATGGAATTGAAGTACCGAGTAAGGCCACGTTCGCACTTGGAAATAGAGTTCAAACATGTGACGTTGAATTCGTTATTTTTTAGAAAGATCATGTGACGTGAATCATCAACACGTTATACTAATATGCTGTAGTTAGACTGTCGATTGTTATGCATTTATGAGAAATTTCAAATTGCAAGAATACACAAAATGCTTGTCATATGCAAAGCATAAAGGATATTCAAAGTGATGTACATATTACAATATTTAATAGGTGAAATAAATTTTCATGTACGTAGGTTGCATTTCCTTATATAATGCTAATAATGCACACACATTATAGTATATTAATATGATAATATTGGTAATACCTACTAATATTGATAATTTGATCATCGAGAAATAAAGCCTTATTCACGCTTAAGAGAGAATGTTATAACGGAAACATAAAAGTTTCGATAGTATAAGGTTGCGATATTATCCATGATAATGTTGCTTTTATCTACTTAGTTAAACTTCAAATGCTATGTAAAGCTGCATTCACGCTTGAAAAAAGAATCTGGCGATTCAGTTACGGTCTGTAGGGAGATTTGCATCCTCGATACGCTATCTGGTAGTCACATTACCATTGTATTCACATTCCGACTCGCTGGAGATTAAATCCCATTGTTGCCCTATTAAGCCCTATACATACTACGAAAAGAAAGCTTTCGCGAAACCGTTCTGATCCATCCAGTTTCTTGCAACCTGGTCAGGCAAGATTTTACGAGCTACATTGACGCGATGACAAATAATATTGTCATCGTGTTAAGTCACGCAGTACCGTCATCGCATTCAGTCACGTGCACACCGGTATAAAAACTTAATAACGTCGTCTCTTTTAATTGCTTCGACATAACTCGAATTCTGAGGTAATCTGTAATTTTAGCATTGAATCTCGAGCTGATTTATTCAATATATATACAAACCTGACGTATCAGTTCATCATAGTTGAGCAAATATACAGAGTGTCTCATGCACAATTAGATTTTCCACGTATTACATTTAATAGCATGCGTCAGATACTTTACTTAACAGTTATTAGATGAACCAATTAATTTGTTGTCTTTTGAAAGATAATTTTCGAAATGGCCAGCGACATTGAGTTACGTGATGCTTTCGTTGTAGAGCAAGTAAAACGACGAAAAGAAATTTTAATTTAAAGCAGAGCGATATTATATCGTATGTTATATTATAATATGCTATATTAATAGCAATATTACTAAATTCTAGTAATTACTAAACTTTCCTTTTTTCCTATATGTATACTACATTTGTCAAAATTGAACTTGAGATATTTTGTAAATTATTCTCAAGAAGAAGTTCTGTAGTTAAGAAGATCTGTAGTCTGATTTGAAAAAAGAAAAATGTACCTTAAAATTGTTTGAAAGCCTCCACTTGCAGCACACAGGCATATTCGTTAAACCGTGAGTTCCTTCAAAATCATTTAATGTTACCTCATGAAATTGTCTCAGAGTGATTTGAGTCATCGAAGTTTCATCCCATAAAATCCACCTACGTATTTCGCTCGCATATAAATTTGCAACCTTATCTCATGATATTCCGTTATTATACGGTAAAGACTAAAAAAAAAACAAAAAAGAAAAAGACTAGCAACAGATTAATCTGCTCATTGAGATAATGGTATTCGCGCATAAAGCCTAATTTACGCGTGTAATCTAAACCGATATAATGCAGTCACGCAACTTGCAAGCGATTTTCCGCAGAAGGTGGCAATCTTTTAACATAGCGTCAATGACAGGCGTATCGACTTGCTACGATTCGTCGATAACTAATTATCGTGAGAAAGCATGCACTTACGCATCGAAAGCACGACCAATCAAACCCATAGAAACATGATCTTGTTTGGCAACTTTGGGCGTTGCCAGTGATGGAAAAAGTCTTGCAACCGTGTCACGTAGCGAATTGATGGTATGCAAAGTACAAAACGTAGCATGTACGGGGCTAGCTATCGACGTCTCATCTTGTATAAATTGCAATCAAGTCTTGTAATGCAACTTCATCCTGCCGCCTGGTCGCATTTGCAAGAAAATCTTGTCGCATGACGTAAATACTACCATTGAACAGTAGGGGTGAATTAAGATATAAAGGAGATATACTTATCACGGTTAGCAATTTATAATTGTCCTTTTGATCGATGAAGGTGTTCTCAATGATTTATTCCTGGCTTTCAAAGTGCTACACGTTTCTTCTTTGTAGCTTTTTCGTCTACCGAATTGGAATTTTTGGAATTTATCGTTGCAGGAACGAGGTTTGCCAGCTTGGCTTAGAGAAATTAAATAAAGTTTCAAATTAATTAAGGTTTTATTTAATTTTTTATTACACCCAGTACGTGAAATGTGGTTTATGGAAAACAAGGAAAATTTAGTAATTATGTTATAACAAATTGTGTTCTAATAATATTATTATTACTAGTAATCGTATTATTTAATTGTATCAATAGCTATGCAAATTAATTCGTTAGCTTTGTATTTAATCAAGTACAACACCTTAAAACTTGAAACCCTCGCGATGATCAGATCACGTATTTGTGCTTTCACGGATTTTGTTCGTGTTTTTGTTAGTATTGGGTTGTCCCAAAGGTCTCTTTCGTCTTAGAAAGAAATAATTAAGAGGCGTACAACATTTTCTGCTTTATATCTCGTTGTATAACTACAAAATGGATCATACATAATTCAATAAAATAATATAAAAGGAAAAACGTTGTGCATCTACGTTATTTCCTTATAAAACGAAGGAAACTTTTCGGACAGCTTAATTACTTTGCGTTTTGTTCCGTCGTTTCTTAAATGTTCCCCTTCACTTCACATCCTTCTGTCTTAGTTCCGATGAAGTGAACTGGAATATTCGCAAAACGACGGAGTGAAGCGCGACGTATTCATAAGAACAAGAAGCGCAAACTTGTTAGTAGCAAGTGCGTTGCGAGTTAAAATTAATGATATCAAAAGAGAGTAACAAGAAACGAATACGTCAAGCAGTATCACACAAAGAAGAAAATAATAACAGAATGATTACAATTTTTGTCATTGTGAATACGACTGCGAGTAAAATTGCGAGTATGTCCTCGAGCAAGAATGACTTTCGAATTCATAACACAAGCAAAGAAGATTCGATAGTATAAATAATAAGGAAAACCCGTTTTACTCTGATATAGTTTGGTAAGGCTAATTAGATTCGTGGTCGGACAAATCTCGAACAGGAAGTGGCGGCGCGTGGCCACTATAAATCGTCGTGGCTAAAACGATTACCGCAATTTCCCGAAATCTCATGCGTGCACCTGATGAACGGATCACGCCACGAGATTTCAGCGTGTCCGTCGAGCTTTTAACGCTTCCGCAGTCTAGCGTCCATGGTATTTCGAAATGAGTTTCCGGTGAATTAAATTTGCGAATTTTATTATTAGAACGGTTGACCAGCGGCTTCCGGAATCCCAATTTCCATGTTTCCGCTGATTAATTTCACGTGCTCGGTAATTAGCAGGCTCGTATTAGTAATTATCTTATAATATAATCACCGCTACTGATAATTGTGTTCTAATAATATGACTATTACTAGTAGTCGTATTATTTAATTATATCA